ACAACCACGGACAAGTGTGAGATGGCAAAGCACAGTGAACAGTGACCATGGAGAAATATCACACTGCAAAGCACAGTTACCAGTGACCACAGAAAACCATGAACAATTGTCAAATGACAAGGCACAGTTACTGGTGACCACAGTCAAGTGTGAGATGGCAAAGCACAGTTAACAGTGACCACGAATAACCATGGACAAGTGTCAGATGACAAAGCACCCATGACCATGAAGAACCATGGACAAATTTTGATAATGCTTTCTTCCTAAAGGCACTCAATCTCTATTTTTACTTTATTCTTTAACTACCTTAAGATCAATACCTGTTCTAACAATCTTTCAATATGCCAGCTCCACTATTGCTTTTATTTCTTTTCAGATGGATTCTTGTCCTCATGGGCAATCACATGATTCATCAATGCTACAATTAACTCATCTCTCCATAGATTAGTCACCACACATGCCTTCTCTTTTTGCTCCACCTGGATTGATGGGGGAGGCTAATCATGCCAATTGATTTCATCATGCCTGGTGATATATTTCTCTAAAATTTACTTGAAATTTTCTACGAATTATATAATTGCAAGTAAGCAAGGTTTAAAAATACGTATTTGAGACAGCTTTCAGTTTTGCCATTTGTGTTTTTCTATCTTGGTTTCAAAGAATAGAATCTGCTCCATGTAGTTTCAATTTCATGTGTTATAGAAGACTAAATAAATGTAGACTACATGACAAGATTTCAAAAACTCTCTGAACTACATGGAACTACAGAATAAAAGATCTTGCAAGAAGCTAGGAAATCAGAGGTTTGTCTACAAAAGCTGGGAGTCACAATGAGAATTATATTTAATTATTCCAAAGTCTTTCTATTTTTATTCCCACAAAAAGGCATGGTTCCATTCAAGAATTTTCCAAGATGTATGGTACCCAGTGGAATTAAGCCTGAAAATAGCCCCCAGTGATTATTGTCTCTTAGTATCCATGTCCTTTTATGCTGTGCTTCCATATCAAAAAGGGTTGACCTTGGGCACACACCTTTAATTCCAGCACTCAGCAGGCAAAGGCAGGAGGATCTCTGTGAGTTCGAGGCCAACCTGGTCTACAGAGTAAGTTCCAGGACAGGCACCAAAGCTAGAGAGAAACCCTATCTCGAAAAACAAAACATAAATACAAACAAAAAAACACAAAAAGAAAGAAAGAAATAGAAAAAAGGAAGGAAGAAGAGAGAGGGAGAGAGAGAGGGAGAGGGAGGGAGAGGAGAGCTGACCTATGTGGCAAACTGGATACAGTAAAACAGTTTATCTCTTGAATCACTGTCATAAAAGACAATGTTTCTATTTTTGATCACTCTTGACTCATTTCCACTAGAAGAAACCAACTGTCATATTCTGAGAGTAATGAAGCCCATGTGGGCAAGAACAGAGGCACCTTCCAAGAACCAGTCATGAGAGTCACCATGAATCCTCTAGCTTTAGTCAGGTCTTCAGATGACTACAGCTTCATCAGAAACTTCAATACAAATTTGGCAAGCCAATACTCCCCCCAAATCCCTGACACACAGAAATTGTGAGATAATAAAATGTTTATTTCTTCAAGTCACTGAGTTTTGGAGTAATTTCACTGTAATAATAAATGACCAAGATAAATATCTACATCCTGGACTTGGGTCAACCTGCTTCTCCACCCCCTACTTCAATGTTCATTAACTTTTTGATATAGGTTAAAAAAACTCCCATTGAACCATCCACTTATAGAAAATTGCCATATCTAGATTTTAAAAAAATATACCATATTGAAGTATTTAGGGCAATCAAAAAACTAGCAAACTAGAAGATTGTCATCACTTATCAGAAGTCAAATAAACTTCAGTTTTGAGATGTTTGATTAAGGATAAATTACAATATATACCCCTGTAGGTGAGAGGATGTTTAAATGAAGATATAAAATGTGTAGCCTTTTTATTTTAAAAGGTGAAGAAGTCAGAGAAATGATAGCAATTGAAAAATGATGAGGTATCTCAGAAAAGAGCCAGATGAGAAGACTCAGATTCTGTAACTAAAACAGACAAGATAGATTCTAAGCAGGCCTGATAACTTAAAGAATTAAATGAGAATTTCTGCTGACATCTACTGAGCAGACAGCGTTTTCTATTGGACTTTAGTTCATTTAACTGCCTATTTCTTCCCTATACACATGTGCTCAAGAATATGTATCCTTTAGTGTTCTCTCTCTCATGAACACACAACATGCAATGAGGGTTGTTTGTTGTTTCTATGTGTGTGTGTATTCATGCTGTTTATGAAAATATATATTTATACATGCATGCTTTGATGTGGAAGCCAAAGGTTGAGAAGTGGGAGCCTCCTTGCCTGACGTTTTACATGGGTGCTGGAAATAGAACTCAGGTCCTTGTTTTACACAGCAAGTACTTTACCAATTGTTATGAGCTATCTCCCTAGATCCAGCTGTTTCTTTCTAGGATTTCACAATGTACATGTAAAATATTCTGTGAAATTTCCAGGGAGAAACTTGTGTTCTAGAGATAGCAACTGATAACATTTTTGAAGTGTTTCCCATGTCATCCTATAGGGTGTTTAATTTTCAAATATCACAGGTCACACATGCATTCATTTGTATTCAAATAATCTGCATATTTGGGGGTCAGGGTCAAAGTGCTATAATATTTCCAATAACCAGAAAGACTAGTTTGAATAAATCAGATAAGTTCCTCTCACACTGTCCCATGGCATAGGGTACTTTGTGAAGTTCATCACCAATTGACATTCCTCCCCCGTTTATACTTTTTACTTTAAGCCACTATACGTTGGAACTTGAACTTTCTATCATTTCACTATTTTGTTTAAGAATAGATTATAGGTCAAACTGATACCAGAAATGTTTGGAAATGGTTGCCTAGGAATAAAATCTAGCTTTTCATTAAATTCCAAGGTGTGATTTTTCAGGCTCAACCACTAACAAATACAAATGCAGGCCTAATAAGTAAAGCTGACCTCCCCACAAAGGGATCTGTTATGCAACCAGTGAGTGGAAACTTCTGTGGATGTGTTGCAGTCGAGAGTTCAGCCCTACTTTTACATACACACAAACTGAGGACCGCAAAAGTTACTCAACTTCTCATATAAAATTTCATAGCACTTACCTTTAATCTATAAACTTAACCTGTATACTTTAAACATCTCTGAATTCCGTATAGTAGCCCATATAAGGGAAATGTTTAGACTTATGTTTCATACTTTATTGGTTTGGAAACAGTGAGGGAAAAGTCTGTACAATTTCAATATAGGCATCATGTGACCTTGTCTGAATATTTTCAATACAAGGTTAATTGAATCAACAGATGTAGTAGGTACCAAGGAAAAACGAGGTCAAGTGCATTTACACTCCTGCTTCAGTGCCTTCATTTCTAGGACCTTGTCTTTTTTCTAATTAAAAATATGGCACCAGGATTTATCCCTACTGCTTATACTGGCTTTTTTGAACCTATTCTCTTTGGATGGATACCTTGCTCAGCCTAGATACGGTAGGGTGGGCCTTGGACAGTTTCCAAAGCAGTGTATCTTACCCTCTCTGAGGAGTGAATAGGGGGTGGGGTGGGGGTGGGGTAAATGGAGGGAATGGGAGGAGGGGAGGGAGTGGGAACTGGGATTGGTATGTAAAATGAGAAAAGATAGTTTTCTTTTAAAAAATAAATAAATAAAAGAATCACAACAGAAATAAAAAGAGATGACACATTTTAAATCACATAAAATATATAATTACATCATTTCTCCCATTCCTGTCCTCTCTCTAATCTTCCCATATCCCTCCCTCCAAAACCTTCCATGTTTCTTCCCCTAACTCCTTCCCAAACTGATAACCTCTTTTTGTTATTATTGGTACAGATGTATGCATAAATACATAAATACAACCTACTGAGTCCCTTTAGCCTAGCATGTGTTATATAGTTTCTGTCTGACATTTTGATTTCGGTAACCCATTTGAGGAATCATCCCTGAGAGAAGCTAATTCTCCTTCTCTCAGCAGTCATTAATTTTCTGTAGTTCCTTGTCTTGTAGTGATGTTCTGTGATATTTCTCTACCATTATTAGCATGTCCTCTAAGGAGGACATACTTCAAGTATCTCTGATACGATCTCTTACTGAGAGTAGAAGGAAATAAGGAGATTTGAAGACAGTTCTCAGGATTCTGAGACAGTACTTTTCCACTCCTAAACTTCAACTTGACTCCAGTGTCTGTATGACTGGTAGATTCATTTGTTTGAAGCTCCACCCATCAACAAACACTGAGATGCGCAATGTTTCACCTTCACATACAGACTCCAGAAGTGAATAATGGTTCCAGGACATTCAAGCATAACCCAATCTGTGGGTATTGAACTGTTTATATAGAATCTCATTATGGTTGCCTATAACCTATGTGTATCTTCCTGTATGCTTTAAAACAGCTCTGGATTACTGAGAATTCCTCATACAAGGGAAATACATTGTTACGTGGGGAACTGCAATTAGGGGAGTCAACACCTTCTCTAGCTTTAAGCTCTGACACCATTAGCTGCAAGACGTCAAAGGTTTGTTCTTTGGTTTTTGGATTATTATATTAATTTTCTATTCTGTCACTTGGGGTCTCAGCTCTCTTCCACTTCACTTGGCCCCTTGCCAGGACTACAGTTTCCCTTTTTTAAGATAAACAAAGAATGGCGGTTTAAAACTTCTAACTACTGGACCAGGCGGTGGTGGCACATGCACTCGGGAGGCAGAGGCAGGCAGATCTCTGTGAGTTTGAGGCCAGCCTGGTCTACAAGAGCTAATTCCAGGACAGGAACCAAAAGCTACGGAGAAACCCTGTCTCGAAAAAAAAAAAAAAAAAACTTCAAACTACTGAGCACATGAAGCACGTAAACTTGGTGTTTGTAAGTTTGCTTCAAAATATTTTATTAACAAAAGTCTTATATAAACAATAAAAGGAAAGAAAAGTATGCTTGACAACGAATAATACGCTGAGAGTATGTGTGCGATTGTAGTTTCTAATACCAGACTAAAGGGAGAGTTAGAAAGAGTAAATATATTCCAATACTTTGAAACATTTCAAGGTTAAAAAAACATTGTGCCAATTTTTAAGGGCCAAGAAAGCACATAATAAAATAGACTTTAAAAATTACAAATGAAAATCTGTACATCAAGGATATTTTTAAGGCCTTCCCAGGTAAAAGGCACTCACTATGTAAGGCAGGGCACTACGTAAAAAGAGATGAGGAACCACCAAGAATGTAACATCACATCAGGTATTGCAAGTCTGGCCCATCTCAGCTTGTAGGATCATCTCTTCTTTTCTCAAGGGGAAAGTGTCAATGAGGTTGAAGAGAGCCATTGGTGTCACTAGGGAGACATAGCGTTCTTTGTCCGTTCCATGCTTATCCACTAGCACCATGCTGAAGGAGTAGAGTGGGATTCGAAGCAACAGCCTGGAATAAATAAAAAGAAGACTTGTTAAACCCTGACCTCCAGGACTTCTAGGGAGCAACCAGATCCCTCTGGTAATACTTTTTAGAGAAATGCTTGATGCCTAGATGCTGTGAAGGAATGAATCATTTTTAGGCCCCCACCACTCAAAGTGTGGACCTGGGACCCATAGCATCACATGAAAGAACTTGCTAATGTCTGACCTTAAACCTAACAAATTAGAATCTGTGTTATTAGTAATATCTTCAGATACTTGGTATTCAGAAGAAAAGTTGAGAAATTCTGCTTTAGATTATTGGGGTCTGAAATATCTCAGGCTAGCTATGGTACTATAAACCAAAGTTGCTACACAGCATGTAGAACAAGGCTAGATTTGGGGAGCAGTAATGTCAGAGCTATAATGGTGATGATTATCCAGAAAAAGTATTTGAGCACTCAGGGGACATTTGTCCATGTCTAAACACACTTTTGGTTGTCCTAAGAAGGGAGTTATAGTTACTACTGGCATCTAATTGATAAGTGTAAGACATACTGCTATATTTAAACTACAATACAGGCCAGCTTTCTAAACAGGCAAATCCAGCCTCCAGTGTCCAAAGGACTAAGGTTGAAGAAGGTACAATTGATTAAAGTAACATTCAAAAAAATGATAGTGATGACTATTTCAGGAATTAAATTAGAACTGTCTGGGTGTAGCCCAGACATTCCTCCTTATTTGACTATAATTAGTTCCACAAATAAGTTTTAAAAGTATTCTGGCATGGTTTCAAATGTGTGGTAGTTTTTCAACATATGGATTTCATCTATGTAGATGTTTTATATCACTACCAGCAAGTTAAAATGAGAAAGTCAAGAGAAAAGGAAGCAGATAGCTGAGCCCAGTGAAATAACAAGGCCACCCAGTCTCCTCTCCTGCTTTTGTTCCAGATGAAATAAAAGAGGCAGAACATACTCTGACATATAAATTTAAAGTGAATTTCTCCCCTTATGAACGGTTCCGTGATTTTTTTAATTGTATAAAGAAAAAGTAGTGAAATGGGTAGGCCAGTCAGAGATAGGGGAAGAATTAAAAGAAAACATAATAATACACATGCATGAAAATGCCTTAATGAAACCCATTCATTTTTATGCTAACTTGAAAAATTAATAAAGATATTATTGCATAAAATATAAACTGACTGGTCTTCTCAAAAAGCAGTTTCATGATATGAGGAAATAATTAGTATTTTCCCCCGTGGAAAGCTGACTTGCTAATACATATCTATTGACTAGAAATCCACAGGAAGATGACTATACTGCCTCCACCAGGCACCCCACAGTCGAAGTCGCTGAGGTAAGTTCAAGCACAAGAAGGTTCCAGGAAACTAAGCAGGGATGGAAGGAGAAAAGCACCAAGTGATGCCACGGCTGGAGCCTCGAGGAAAGATAGCTGGATGAAACACTGCTCCACGTGGTTTTAGAACAGTTCTGAGGCCCAAATGGTAACATCCCCCTGGCTATTACACACATTCTTCATGTGACTCTTGTACCTTGATTAACACAGAATATTAACAAAAAAGGGAGGGGGGACAACCGCCGTGGGAAAGGAGAAGTGGTCACATCAGCAACAGCAACACAAGTGGGTCCCAGTGGAGATGTCTCAGAGGTGGGTGGTAAAGTACCTCATGGATTGTGAGGTTGCTTTGAGGTTGGCAGCATTTCTGAACTACAAGATGACAATTATCAGATTGGAAGGAACTCTTCCTGGCTCACCTTCCATTGTGAAAATACTTGAAATAACTATTTTTCAAGTCTAAAAATAATAAGATTATTAAGGTGATGTCCTTTTTGCTTCCTGTATACTCTGTTCTTCATTTAACAGTTTAAATTACACCAAGAATTTATTATTGTTGTGTATGCATTTATCATGTATGTGTGTATCTGTGTCTACCACCTATTATCCTAAGAAAGTAATTTTAAAAACTGCAACAAATTTTATTTTTATGTATGAACGTGTTTGTGGTATATATGTGTCTGTGTTTGTGCTTGCATGTGTGTATACTATATACTATATATGTGCAGGTACATGTACATATGTGTGCATGTGGCTATGGTAGCCCAAGGTTGGCATCAGGAGACTGATTCAATGGCTCTCCATCTTATTCATCAAACTGGGAGCTCTCAGTTGAAACCAGAGCTCACTGACAAGGCGAATCTAGATAGCCAGCTTGCTCCAGAGATCCCTGTCTCTGTCTTCTATGGCTGGTCTCTTTGTCTTTCTATCTCCTGGCCATTGATATAAGTAACTTACATGACCATGTGTTCCCTTCATGAGAGGTGACCTTCACTAGAGACTCAAAGCAATAGAGTTTCCCCATCTCTGATTGTAGCCACTAGAATTATGAGCAAAAGAAACAACTGTAGGAGTTGCTTGCCTCTGGTATTTTGATGTAACAACAAGAACCTTACTAATACTATTATTTACTTTTACATTCTTTCTTCCCCATTTTCAGAAAAGTGAAAGGATATGTGTGCTTCAGAAGTTAATGTAAAAGATAGTAAAGCAATCTGAGACTCCAAAAGACAAGGAGACTTCTGGGACCTTGAGAACAGAGACTGATTCTGTCCCCTGCAGTATACCAAAGATAAAAGCTAGGCAAGAAAGGAAAATTTTAAGAAGTGTTAGTTTAGCCAGGCGGCAGTGGCGCATGCCTTTAATCCCAGCACTAGGAAGGCAGAGGCAGGCGGATCTCTGTGAATTCAAGGCCAGCCTGGTCTATAAGAGCTAGTTCTAGGACAGGCTCCAAAGCTACAGAGAAACCCTGTCTCAAAATACCAAAAGTAAATAAATAAATGAATGAATGAATGAATAAATAAATAAATAAATAAATAAATAAAAAGAAGTGTTAGTTTATCCTCATTACCCATCTCAAGGTGGCCAAGAGATACAAGAAAAAATGTAGGTTATTTCTGAAATTGTCTTTTAGCTGCTAAATATGGCTTTAATACGTTACTCAAGGTCTAACTATTAGGGATCTAGCTTTATAAGCATGACAAAAAGGAGATACAATTGTTGAAACAGAGATATGGACAAGTGCTCAGGAAAGAATGGGGCGGGGGGAGATCAAGCCTGAAAGGGCTAATTAGTATCTATCCTAATATGGCAAGAACTGCTGCTTATGTCATTTTGTTTTCAAATCATCCTCTCCTTCTAACAGAGAGAGAGAGGGAGAAGAAGAGAGAGAGAGAGAGAGAGAGAGAGAGAGAGAATATGCTTGGTTGGAAGGGAAAGAAAACACTAACAATTTTCCACTGCATAATTCAGTTGAACATGCAGAAACATGTCAACTAGCATGATTATAATACTCCCAGAATAAAAGTAATTAAACACTGAAGGTTGCCTGAATTAAATACTGAATAGAAAAAAAATCAGGGAACCTGACTGGGTACAAGAGCAACCATGGTGAGATCCAAGTGTATTCACAGGGAATGAAATTTAAGGAGAGAGCAGCTCCTTACCTGAGCTGCAGAGCTAGAGCTGGAGGCATAATCTTTGCTCTGATCCTGCCAATGAGGGTCGGGAACACTCCTACCAGCTCCACCACTGTGACATGCCGAAGATCCAGGCCACACTGTGCTTGCTGGGGGTAGAAGCAACAGAGCAGGTGTGAGTGAGTATAACTAAGGAACTGCAGACTGGCACCCCAGCAATGGTCCTGTGGGTGCTTCTTTGCCCATTCCAAATTGTACTGAAAACAGCTGAAAAACTAAGTCTAATCTGGTGCCTAGAAAATCTAAGTATCTTCCTAGTGGAATTATGCAAAACAGCTGGGCAATGGGATTTTGGAATCCTAAACACAATGGTTACTCTAAGGCACTTCTAGACATGGTGAGACTTTACATGAGTCAAATTCCTAAAACTATCCCCACCCTGAAGTTTCTAATCTCATTCTTATAAGGAATTAAGATTTTTCAGAGTTCCCCTTTCTTTACTAATTATCCATCCTCCACACACTCCTGCCCTATGTTCCCCATACCCAAACCCCAAGGAAACAAGGAGAAACTCGTAGAGGATGTGGCTCCGTCAACTACATGTTAGGTGGTCTCACAAGGAGCAGCAGCGACAATCAAAATAAAAAAAATTAACAGAAGATAAATAAGATGAATCTGATTGAATGGGAAAAGCAATTTTTAAATCCTGAACTTTTTCAACAATACTATATGAAGCAATACAATTATTACTAAGTCAACCACATCCTAGAAGGTAAGTGTGAATGAGTTGGTAAGAAGAAAAATATAAGAATATCTAGATCCAAAATGCCATAGCCAACTAGCTAATCAGGAGTTTAACTGGGGGCTGGGGGAACGTGAATGGGCTAAGGTTGAGGGCTAGCAATAGGACAAATTTGGTCATGAGCCAAGGTTTACTTATATAGAAGGCGAGTTTATGGGTTTATTCATTTTTTCAGAGATAAGGGCTTAAGGCATGTGTGGCCATGTCATGCTGCTATGCCAAGGACCATAAAACCAGGTAAGTATATGCATTTACCTTTTATGAGGAGCAAGGAGGTTGTGCTGGCTAGTTTTATGCCAACTTAACAAAAAGCTAAAGTCATCTGAGAGGAGGAAACCTCAATTATGGAAATTCTTTCATAAGAGTGAACTGTATGCAAGCCTGTAGTTTTCTTAATTAGTGATTGATGACGGAGGGCCCAGCTTATTGTGAGTGGTGCCCTTCTTGGGCTGGTGGTCTAGGCTGTATAAGAAAGTAGGCTGAGCAAGTCATGGGGAGGAAGTTAGTAAGCAGCACCCCTCCCTGACTTTTGCATCAGCTCCTACCTCCAGGCTCCTGCCCTGCTTGCATTCCTGCCTGACTTCCCTCAGTGATGGACTATGAATGTGAAACTGTAAGCCAAATAAACCATTCCTTTCTAAGTTGCTTTTTGTCATGGTGCTTCAACATAGCCATAGTAACCCTAATTAAGACAGAGGTAGGTGTACAATAGCAGGTAGGGTGCCAGGGATTTATGATACAGATTTAGTGAATTTGGCTCTTATAAAGGTAACCCAAACATTTCATGTGGCTCTTCATGGTTCGTGGGTGACCTGTTCAGATGGTAAAAAAGTAGTGGAAGAAAGACTCACTAGTCATTGTATTTACGCTGACGTGGGTACTAAACTGCTGCCTTCGATTAAACCAAGATCGTTCTAACAGGAATTAATGAACGAGAGATCCTAGAAAGGAAGTGCAGCAGATCCTGCTTCTTTAGCATTTGGTGAAGTTGACCAACTTCAAGACAAAAACAGGCAACTTCTAGTATGATCCTTGCAGTTTCTACCCTCCCCCAACATGTTGAGTGTCTCATTGAGTAGAAGCAAAATTCACTTTCATTAGAATAGGGGACATTCCCAGGGAGGGATATGGTGCCTAGAGGCTCTCGGATGCTTTTTATCTCCTTAGCCAGTCTATCGGGAAGATAACTGATGGATCACCTCGTGTCTATGAATGTGCTGGATAGGATCAGCAAAGCCAATTGTTCTTGGGCTGGGCCTGGACAGCATGTCAATTAAGCTTATTAGCAAAGACAGACAAACCTCGATGGTTGGAGAATGATTGGGTTAACTCTGGGGAGTCAATGTTAATAAGGTTATACACCAGCACCAGAAATGAATGACTGTCTTTAAAGTGCTGGTCCCTTAAACTCGCCCTAAATGGATTAGGCACTGAGTCTGGCCTTTGCTTTTAGCGAACTGCCCATCTTCTTCCTGTTAGAGGTCTCCCTCCCACCTTAGCTTTGCCAAGGCCTCACCTGCAGCATCCCCAACTGCAGTCTGTAGAGGATGTTTCGAGCTGTGGGTGTGGACACAATGAGAAGTCTCCTTTTCTCGTAAAACTGATCCAGGAGTGCCGCTGCTGTTCTGACACCAACATTGACATTCATTGCTGTAATCAGAAATGGTCACATAAGTTCACCGCGTAAATTCTGGCTTAGCTTAGCCAAGCACATACAAAACCCTAAGTAGACCCTGAGATGAGAATTCAAATTTAAGCAGTTGATTTCAGAAGTGAGTTCCTGAAACACCAGTAACAGACAGACGAGGCGCCCTAGCTTTCTCTTGTTGCTGTGACGCATCACATTAAACTCAGTGGCTTAGTCTAACATAAATTCATCGTTCTTTTGATATGGCCACGAAGAACAGGAGCCAAGTTTAATTCTAATTCTTCCATGGAAACTGATCAATGAAAAACAGCTCTAAATGATTGGCTCAGTCCACATAGCAGCAAACAGTCTGCCTCTGAAAAGGAAATTACAAAAGAAAAATGAGAACACACGAGGTAGGTTTTATGAACTTGGTGCTAATATTTCAAACAAGGTTAGCTTTAAAATCATTGTTCATTGCAATTTTCATCCAGTCAACTACACTGAGTGATAATTATGTGTCAACATCTGGGCTATTGCTCTGAATGAGAGGCAGTTATTATCTCTAACATTGCCTTTCGGGCTCACAGTCTAGGACAGTTTGGGTCAATATAAATAGAGTTTACATAAGTCTACAATTTAAATTTTTCTAATAGCTTCATTAGAGATGTACAAATAAATATGTGACAAGAGCTTTATATGTCAACCCAATATATTCAAATATTTCAACATGCCACCAATACAAAAAATTAGGGGTGCTTTATATTCTTTATTGTGCTAAGACTTTTAAATCAGTGTGTATTTTACACTGACCACATACCTGAATTTGGACTTATTTCAAGTGCTTCATGCCCATATACTGCTAGCAGGTAGATAGATTTATGAGATCATTTGATAATGTACTCCAGGCCTCAGTGTCACAAAAATGGGTATTATGTACTTATCTGAGGAGTCTGAGACTTTTCTGTTTTAATATATTAAATAGAAGAGCTTCATCCACCTGCTCTGAATGGTAGAGTTAAAGGAGGGGAAAAGGAAGAGATACCCGGGATTGAGACAAGGGGAAGCATACAAAAAAGTTAGTCTAGATTTCACACTCTCAGCCCAGTTGCTGTTCATCAGTAAGAATGACTGGCATACCAGGCAGTGGTGGTGCACACCTTTAATCCCAGCACCCGGGAGGCAGAGGCAGGCGGACCTCAGTGACTCTGAGGCCAGTCTGGTTTACAGAGCTAGTTCCAGGACAGCTAGAGCTGTTACACAGAGAAACCTTGTCTCTGGGGGAAAAACAAACAAACAGAATAACACTGGTACATTTTGAAGGCTTACCATGTACCAGGAACTGTTCTATTACAGCATTCAGTAGATGATCACATTTAAGAGAGGTATGATTTTCCTCATTTTACACAGGAGGAAGGATTTCAAATGCCCAAGTGGGGAACCAGAGAACAGACAAAAGCAAGATAAGGAGGCAGGTAAGATGAGCTACAGCATGGGCTTTTCACCTGCTCAGATGAGCAGAGCTGACACTGAACTTTAGAACGTGCAGGAAATGAAGCTGCTTTTTCCTGCCCTGGAATCAGGGGACATCAGATTCTCATGCTAGCTGGAACAAGAACTGCACGCATACCTGCACAGCTGGGCTCCGTGCCAGACCAAGCCAGATTGGATTGGCAAACCCGGGCAGGACTACCCTGAAGTTCATAGCCACCAATACAGGAGAATTCACAGGTAGCTCCGTAGTTGTCACCATCGCTGGAACACTTCATGTAACCATTGTCTGGGGCATTGAGTTTGCCACAGCGTCTGACTGTAGGGGACACAAACCCAGAATAGCCTTAGTCCCGAGCCCTCCTTCCATAAAGGAACCAGAGAAAGTGAGGTTTGTCATGACGTTACGCAACTAGTGAAATGAGTGAGAGGCAAGGAAGACTATTAAATGCCGCATAATGCTCACCGCCCATACCAAGGTATTCTTGAGATAGATAGTGGCATTAGCCACCTCGTGTTACACATGAGGAGCCTGAACCCTGAACAGTAAATGATACTACCTGTCCAAATCTTGAAACACGAAGTTTTCAAAAACGATTTACTCACACAGACGAAAAGAGGGGACTCCTAAGCACTCTGGTTATTTATCACAAGTACTGGAGATATCAGCTCAGAGACAGAAGCATTACTAAGTGGTAGTCTTCTTGGACAGACGGCGGTGCGCTCCTGTGAAGCTAGTCCTGTTTCCTACATAACCCACCCATCTTGGCATTGGTGGTAAGATGAAATACTTCCATCAGCATCACCAAAACCTAAGGCAAAGCTGGCAGCAGCCGTGCTACAAGGGGCATTCAGAACAGTCTGGCTTGGGGGCCTGGCCCTTCCTTTGACAGTCACAGGAAGCAACGGTCTCACCTCTTACTTTCACTCGGAACTTGCAGGTGCCCTTGTTCTCAGCTCTGTCATGGACTGTGTATTCAATCTTGTGGTCCCCTTCTGGAAAATTCGAGCCTGGAGGGAGGCCTTTTAGAATAACACTTAAGGAAGAAAGCAGAAATACCCAGGGTTATGCTTGTGTACCTAAATAGCAGCTGTTGAGTCTGGAGTCTGCTTCACAGGAGCAATTGGATCTCAGCTAAGAGCAGATTCATGGTTTTGTTCCTTCGTTTGTTTGTTGCTGAAGGATAGAATGGGGGTTGGGGGCTGAGCCTTCATGTTTTCCTTGTTGGGCAGACAACACAATACTTTATGAGGAAAATTCTTTCAGAGTACAGTTTAGTTGGCCATTTGGCAATTTAAGCCTGCAATAGGTACTAGAATGTTCTTTGCTTTTTCCATCTGGGTCAGTTCTCTGTGAATCCTTGACTCTCCTAACTCTTTGTTAGTAAAAGCAAATTTTTATTGTCTAACTTATATACATCTTAAAAGTATCAGGTATGGTTTATTATCTATGATTTAATTTAATGCTCATAGAATTTCTATTAGGCACGTAAAATTCTCCATTTTGTAGGAAAGGAAACTATGGCGACAAAAGGCTAAGGAACTTGACCAAGATTGGACAACACATGGCAACTATAGCATCTATCTTCTTAGCTATTTGAGAGCAACGTCAATTGGTATAACAATCAACTGACAGTTTCTGGTTAGTTTTCAATGTATAGAAAACTCACCTATTCCCTGTGGCCTCTAGGAGTGGTGATATTTTATGATAATAGCCATATGAAATAATCATTGTCACCACTGAGGAAAGCTTTACACACAGGTGGGACACACTTACAAGGCATGTGAACTGAGGAGTCTTGAGAAAGTATTAGAAATCCCACCACTCAGAGGTGTCACTTTTGACTTTAGATCCTTTAAGATCTTAAGATCCTTAGATAGCAAATGTAACTTCAGATAATCTTTCAAGTAGGCGTGATTGCTAATCTCTCTGAGACTATTTCATCATGAAAATAACAGGCGTCATCAATGGGACTCAAAAGAAACACCTATGTCAGAACTTTTAGACAAGAGAGGTTCCATGGTGACCTGATATTTTACATTTTGAATTTGTTGTACAGGACTTCAGCTGTTGTAGAAAGCTAAGAAATGATTATATGCCAGCAACTGAGTCAGGCATTGTACAAGACTGTAGTAATAAGTTAAGGGTAAAGAGTTCCCAACCCCAAATTATGCCAATTCTGAAGTGATTTTTAAAATTTTGTATGTACGCACATATGCACATAGTATAGACTATATATACAAGTACAGTATATATAGTATAATGTGTATGCATTTCATGTGTGTATAGTTAGTTGCTTTTTTCATATGACTTATTTTTAAACTCAATTTCATAAAGTTTCCCCTAGGGATTTTATGATCTTTATATATAGCAAGAGAAAATGTTTTTAATGATCAAACTTTATCTTGGAGAAATTACAATTAAAAAAAACTAATCCTCTTGTTTAAAGAAGAAGATATCTTGGGGATTTTTAGAACATGGAAATAAAATATCCTGCTATGAATAAGAGACTTTGGGTAGTGACTGTCTCGCATTTAGGAAATGGCAGAACATTTCCTAAGAGACAACATAGACTGGTCATATAGTTCAACACTCATGCTTACCTATAATGTACAAGGCTTTTAGGAGAGAGAGAGAGAGAGAGAGAGAGAGAGAGAGAGAGAGAGAGAAGAGAGAGAGAGAGAGAGCATTCCAGCTGCCAAGTGTCATGGTCAACTTACTCAGTAAGAATACCATCTGCTGTATCTCTCCCCTCTGGGGTTTCCCAGGACACCCGGACTGTCAGCTTATTTGGTTCAGCAATACGTTCTTTCACACTTGGGCACTTGATTCTCGGAGGTTCCACATCTTGAAAACACAAAGGAATCCAGAAATAATTTGTTGAAGCGGTGGTCAACACTCAAAGTCTGACAAACCAAGACCTCTAGACACTGGCCATTTCCAAAGAGATTGTTCACTCTGGATTTCTCTCTCTTTTTACCCTGTCCTTTCTCTTTGCTGAGTTTTAAAGGCCTTTTAGGACTCACCCACACAAAAACAGACCTGCCGTTCCCTCCCATTGCTACATGTGCTGGGTGTATATGTCCTAACTCTGCACACTGACTTGGCACCAGCATAGTTACTCAGCTAAAGCCAGAAGTCATTCAGTTTTAGCGAGCCTGGCCTGATTTAAAGACAGTGTTGTAGTATACCGAGCAGCGGTACCAACACTATCACCTACTTTGATTCAATTCAATGCAACAAAACTTTTAGGAGTGCCAACCTTATCCAAGGGTGTCATTTTAAATGCTGGCATTTGAGGTGAAAGTGAATTTGATGCTAAAAATTTATCAGCGTTCAAAGTGTATTGGGGGTGCTTATTTCACCAAAATGTACATCTTTCAGGAGGCAGAGAGCAGCACTGTTCTGGATAAGGCAAACTTGAATGTTATGGCTGTGTAATGGAGACACCTCTCTCAGTTTATATATGTCCACACTGAGGCTCACAGGGTTTATGTGCCTTATTTAAGTTACTCCACCCCCTCATAATCAAGACGGGTTGATAATGAGGGCTGGAAAAAAATGAGATGTTAATTCTACATTGGGTTGTGTTGCCTGTAATCAAAGCTGAAGTGCAGGCACCAGGGGAAATTTGGAAGTTTACCGGTTCTCCTGATGTCAAGCAGGTAGAGAATGTATTCAAAGACAGCACATGGCAGCCCGCTTTGCATCGTTTTACAAACCAGCCAATAATAACATAAATGCTATTACAACTTAGGTGAAAACTTAATGTCCTCTCTGATACTGAATCACATCTCTCAGAAACTGGATGCATCAAGTAAATCCCTTCACACACTTTCCCCTGCTTCTTACAAAGATTCCTCATTTTATGTAGTGTAAGAGATAATGAATACTGAATAGTTTTTCAAACAGTTTTACCTTTATGTATCTAAATTTGCTTTCCTTCTAGGTCATGCTTCAATAGACTGTGAGTTTGCAGCCTTATTACACAGATCTTAAGCTGAATAACTATCATATTTCATTGAACATAAGTCATGATAAACTATAAGATGCATCCCAGCCCCAGTGACATTAAAATATGAAAGTTATGCCTTAAGAATAAAATAATGTGTATGTGTCACAATGATATGGAATACAGTTAAATCTATCTGAAGTATCCTTTTGTGACTCACTGAGTTCTTAAAAATAATCTTTTTTATTACTATGCTAGGTAATAGAAGACATGCTTCAGTAATTCAGGTGAGCATGTCAATGCTTTGGGTGAATCAGGTAAGTGTTGAATGTCTGCTGTCCACTTGTCAGAGAGTGTCAGCAACTGCTTTCTTGAAAATATGCTTACATAGAAGGTAAAGCAAAAGAAGAGAGTTTGAGGATGGTGATTAGGTGGAAGCCCCATCTCTCTCTCCCCAGACCCTGTCCCTTCAGAAAGTCTGCCATCGGCAGTTCCTCTCCCAGAGATACCAGGGACCACACCTACCAGCTATTTCAAACCCTGCTCATAAATCTGCTACGTGTGCCCTCATGTTCTGTCCCCTGCCTTCCTGAGGGCCACCCAGGAGTGCTCTGCTTTGCATTGCCCTGTTTATTAAATCTAGATTTATTAATTCTGTCTGATTTGGCTTATTACATCAGCGGTGGAGGAATCCAGCAACCGAGGATCCAATACTTAACAGATGAGTTACTGATTTCTACATAAAATTACACTATTTATGAGTGAAGAGAGATTCTTAGCCTCTGCATCAGGTAAACTAAATGTGGATGATACACTCTCTGCTTTCCTGTGTCGACTAGGTGAGCTGACAGTGCAAGCTCACTCCCCAGTAGGTGATCCGGGAGGGGTAGGGGGAGAGTCTCAGAGCTTCCCAAAGACAGCTAGAGTCTGCCTAACAATGACCAGTAAAATGTGGCCTAGTTGTTCCAAAGGAGGGCTTTTCTAAACATGCAACAAATATAAGTCATACCATATAAGAAGCAATATTTTCTGAAAGTTACTATAGAGACATAATTACTAATCCCCTTGAAGTCCAAATGACTGCAATGTCAGTTATTGTGTGGAAATCCTGAAGCCTCTGTGAGACTCCTATTCTGTGTTTTCTGTCCCATTCGCTGGAGAGATTTGACAAATCATGTCCCTTCTCTATATTCCTCTTTCATTTCTGAGTAGAAAATGCAATAATCAGAAATATTGTGCTGGCCAACATTGGTAGCAAAACTATTTACCAAGGAATCTTGAACACGTGTGTGTGAAACAAGGAAGAGTCACAGGGACAATGCCTTGGTCAACAACTAACAATAAACTGAAAGATCCTCTGTCAGTTTCAGACCTAGGCTGCTGTGGCAGAGTCTGGCACCTTCAGATTTCCCTAGCTTGGGGCAGTTGTCATGTAAAGCAATTCAAAGGGCTTTAGATCACAGTGGGTGGTAAGAAAAGAGGGGAGGGAGAAGAAGAAGGAAAGATGGAGATCCAGTCAGAGTCTAGTCCTGAGTCTAATTGCTTTATATGTGCAGGAGGCTCATCTTGGATCCTGCAGGCTGTTAATCATCACCTGAGCCATAATGGATCGCAAAGAGCAGCCATCCCCATAGAATGCCCAAATTTCCGACCGACAGTATCTCTTTGGTCAATAATTTAGCTGTCTGAAACCACTGTGTTCCAGGCAGTCTGTTGCACACAATGACGAGGGAGACAAATCTAAGAGTCTGAGGACTGGAGGGAAGGGATTGAGAGGGGCTGGAGGGAGGAAAGGGAGGGGAAACTATACAATTGTATTGCAAATACAAGTATACTTTTTAAAGGAATTTGAGAGTGATGATGGAGGCCAGAAACATCTATTTCCCCGGGCACATGAAGCAAATGACTGCCAAGGGCAGAACAAAACTTGTCTTTGAAAACTTGCCCAATAGTTTTCCTTTCTCCAGCCAGAGGACAATCCCTGTGGATGCCTCTGGAAAGTGGTTCCATTTCTTTGGCACTACAAGATTTCAAGAAACTTTCCAGAAGCAGAAAGAAAGAAAGAAAGAAAGAAAGAAAGAAAGAAAGAAAGAAAGGAGGGAGGGAGGGAGGGAGGGAGGGAGGGAGGGAGGGGAGTAATGCACAAGCTCCACAACCAAAGTTGCCCGACTAAAAACTCATTTCTATTAGAGAAGGCCACACAGCAAAAGTTGGCCTGTGTGTCAGTTGCAGTGCTAAATCATGTGAGGCAAAAATGGGAACAGTATTTCCATCAACCAAGTGGTCGTAAAACTGGAATTAGATTCCTGATGGTATGTGTATTTACCAGCCTGGGGAAAAATCATATAAAATAATCTTTAACAATGCACTGGTTCATTTATTCCTACCCCTGCTGATATTTGTAGCAATGGAATAATGACTTGAAGCCGAACAACTATCCCCATGAGCCACTGGTTAAACAAAATCACCACACAGCAAAATGTTTGCCATCAATTTCCATATGTTATTTCTCAAAGATATATTTTATTCCAGGTTTTTAAATTTTTATTTTATCATCATCATTATTATTATTAGATTTTCAAGACAGGGTTTCTCTGTAGCTTTAGAGCTTGTCTGTCCTGGAACTAGCTCTTATAGACCAGGTTGGCCTCGAACTCACAGAGATCCGCCTGCCTCTGCTTCCCGAGTGCTGGGATTAAAGGTTTGCACCAACACTGCCCAACTTTATTCCAGGATTTAACTTATGTTATTCTACTCTGCAGAAGACATAAAAAAGAAAGAGGAATTTCAGCAACCAAGCTGTTTGTATATTGTCCTTTGTTAAAGCAACAAAATGAGTATTCTCTTCATGACAAAAGGCATCTACTAATCTTTCTTCTTCCATGCTTTTAAAACTGTAGTTTTTTTCTTCTTGTTTTGAAGGAGGAAAATGTTTTGGTCCATAGCAGAGAGATACATCTACTGAAAATGGGGTCTCTAAATGAGGATTTGTGTTTACTCTTACTGTTCATTGTTCTACGGAATCAAATAAATAAAAAATGACAGAAATGAAAATATCTCTGCACACAAGGTAGTTTCAGCGGATGGAGGAAAGGGCTTCTTAACGTCTTCACTCCCCTGCAGCTTACAGTAAGCTTTCTCTCCACCTACATGACCCTATTCATTTCGTAAAGAACTGAGCTTGACGTTAGTCTGAGGCAGAGAATGAATCCTGACTTGTGGCACTTACAAATGAGCCAGACCGCAGAACTGGCCACCTTGGAGTCAAAGACGGCCCAGCCTTCCCATTCCCTCCAAGTTTGCAGAAGAACTGCATTAGCTTTCTTAGCTCTCAGCACAGTTCGGGCCAAAATGTGCTGTTGAAGGTTGTGTGGAAACCTGGGAACAACTCAAGCGCCATGTGTCAATTCCTAAAATAGGCTGAGGCTCTGAGTTATGCTCAAGGAAGCCTGTTCCTGCCAGCACACAAGCAACTTATTAATAAAGCCAAAGAAGTAAATGATAGCATTGGAGCAAAATTTACTGGGGACAAACTCCAGGTTGTCTGTCTCTGAAGTCAGAAAGCACTGCCTGCTTTCTCTGTCTGTTCTTTTCATTCACCTTGGAGCTCTAAGCTCTTGGGGACTCTGCACCCCACTTCCCATTCCCATCGAGTTGCATATACATTTTCCATTTCTCCAATACACTTGAAACTTGTCTCAGCAAACGGTAAGATAAATTGCCTGAATTTGGGGTTCATTTCTTACTTCCTTCCCTCTCCCTCTGGGCAAGTTCCAGGGCCATCTGGGCTGGCTTTAGACATGCTTGCTGCTTTTTGAGAACAATCAGCATTTTCTTTCCATTGTTGTGCACAATCTGGAAATCTGAACAATATGTCCCCAGAGTGCTTGCCAAAGCTTGCTTAGCAGAAAGAGCTTTGGGCTTCTCCTCTCCCACACCGTGACCTCTGCTCCTTCCAATACAAGGGAACAGAGATTTGACTGATTTCCTTTGGTTTGTTTTCAAGGGCTAGTTTGCACACAGCAAAGCACAAGATACATACCAAAAGCAGCATCTGTGAGGTGCTCTTCTGCGCTGAACACATGGGCTTAGCAATGTGCATGTCCAGATCTCACCATCACCACTGCCAGCACATTCTGTCTGTCCTCACCAAGGAGAACTTCTCAGCAGTGGAGACACCTCATCTTTAGAGAAAGGTGTATCCGCTAAATATTTTGTTGGCACTCAGCTTTGTCATATTGTCCCCTTTGGGGCCATCACTACGTCTTAAAGCAACAGTTGTGTAGATTCTTTTGTCAGCTGGGTGCCACACAGGTCTCGCTGACATGAGATAGAGGGCAGGAAGGCAGTAGGAGCCATTCTATTTCTGATAGCACCTTCAGTGGTTATTGGCTGAACTCTCCCTTCTCATCCATCATGGTGTCAATAACATGGGAGCGTAGAGTTGTGGCCTACACTACCATTTCGCTGTTGCTCTTCTAGCCTATGCTCAGCCCTTGTCCACAGAAAAGTGGGGAGTGGGGAGGAGTTGGGGTGAATGTGTTCCAAGTACATTGTATGAAAATCTCAAAGAGTTAACAAAATCCACTTAAAAACAATGCGAGATTTTGTTTTGATGTTCTCCAAGGGCAGGGTCTGGCAGCTCCCAGAGCTTAGGAGTGAATGGCCCTCTGTGACAGTGGTTCTCAAGGGCTTCAAGAACTTCAGTACAATCCCAGCACTTCAGAGACTTGGGCTCCAGTGGCAGTCAGCTGCAGAAAACACTGCCCTAGAGCTGGCTGTCTCAACCTCTAAAGAAACACCAGAATCCAAAGATGTATTTTGGTTTTCTACATCTGTGACCATTTCATGATTTTGTGTTCCTTGGTCTTTCTCCTGAGGTTGACGCAGCCTATCCAAGAACAGTATTTCTGAGTATAAAGATTTTTAACTCCTTCCTAAATTTGAACTCCTAAAGCAGGTTTTCTAACTTTGGCTCACAACGGAATTACCTTTGCTGGCTTTTAGAGAAGCAGACTGTTGGGCCTGCCTCAGCTGGGCAGGGAATTTGCATTTTCCTTGGGGATTTCTAATGCTGCTTTCAGAGCCTGAGCCTAGATCTCCAGCAGGAATATCACCTGAGCCAATTTTAGAACCCTATTGGCCTCTTCCAACTGCCTCTTTGTCACGTTAATTGAATCAGAATCTCTAAGGGAAGTCACAGAAAGGTACCCAGCTGGCAATTACAGGTAGCTATGGTGAGAACCCACTGCCCCTAGGCATGTGGTTGTCAATGGATGGGTAAATTTTCTTCCCCAGAGCCACTGAAAATATCTCTAGAGACATTTCTGATAGCCACGATTAGGTTGGAAACAGGGCATGGAGACATTGTCTTTAAGCACTTAGTGGGTTAAAATCTAAGAGCACTCTCCAATATCACATGGTACAAAAAGTAAAGGAACACAGTAAAAATTGTCTGACCCCAAATGTCTGCTGTTCTAATGTTCATGAACCTTCTCATACAGGATGAATCCCCCCAAGCCTGACTCCCAAGACTGACTGAGTTGAAATCTGCATTTTTCTCAAGGTTCCCAGAAAATTCTCAGGCACTGAAAACTTTCAGTACCTGAGTTTAGTGGCCCTCTATTTGAATACTTGAAACTCTCTAGAGGGCCTCTGAAAATGCAAAGTGCTGGGCTCTACCTCCAGAATTTTAAATTCAAGAAGTAGAGAGGAACATGAGAGTCCCATTTCTCATTAGTTCCCAGGGTGACAGCCTAGGCACTGACAACAGTCAGCCTAAAAGCAGGCTGCCTTGAAGTCAGCTAAGATAGAGTCTGAGGTCTTGGGCTGGGCCTAGGCACTGAAACACTATTGAATGCAATGCTGGCTGTTTAAATTGTTTCCCTTAATGTATACTATACCAACAAAGACCCACTGCTCCTCTCCCAAGAAGTGGCTTCTGAGGTCTGTGACGTTTACTTACCCACACAGGAGGCTGGTGGGCCACTCCAGGTCTTGGTGTCCATACACGTGACTGTCCGCTCCCCTTTCAATGTATATCCCGGTGAGCAATAGTACTCACAGCGAGAGTTGAAGTAGGCACCATCGACACACTTAAACCCTCCATTTGATGGCATGGCAAGGGGAGGGCATCGCTTTTCTAAAAAGGAGAGAATCGGGTATTCAAGGTTTCCTAGTTTTTGTCCACAAGTTCAGAATCCAGACACTTGGAAAGCATGCAGTGAACAGCTTGCTGCAATATAACATGTGGCATTAAACAATGGCTCCTCATGTGTCACATAGAAGACATGAAGTTTCATATCACAGTTAGGTGGCTTTCGTATCCCAGCTGCAACAAGGTCTTAGACCGAATTCGCCAGAGGCAAACCCTGAGAGAAGGATTTGCATGCTAACACTTTTGGAAGGGAGTGTTGCCAGGGGAGACCAGTGAAAAAGTGGGATAACAGGAGAAAGATGAGGAGAGTGCCAACAAGGGGTGACAGATAGCAGAATCAGCCTCAGCTTGCTCCTTCAGGGGCACCCTGGAGGGAAGCTGCCAGTTCCCATTCAACCTCCACACCTGGAACCGCCATTTGTTACTTAGTCATTAGACAGAACTGCCCATGGGAGAGCCTTTCACTTGTAAAAATAAAATAAAATAAAAGCTGGGCTGGTAGTTCACACTGGTGAAGGAGATTCAGGAAACCAAGGCCAGACATCCTAGGCTACAATAAATAACTAAACAACCAAATAAACAAATAGGAAGTGGGTAGAAAAGCAGCAGTGAGAAAGAGTTTTCTGTAAGACATTTTCTTCTTTCTCTGAAGAAAGCTGAAGCGTGGATAAATGTGGCTGTGTCTAGTGACACAGCCCTTCAATCCCAGCTTCTTAGGACATTGAGGCAGGAAGATGGCAAGTTCAAAGCTTGGGCTGGGCTACAAACTGAGATTCCAACAGCTTTCCAAGTTGGTGAGATCCTGCCTCAAAATAAAGAGGGTTTTAGTGAGTGAGTGAGTGAGTGAGTGAGTGAGTGAGTTAGTTAGTGAGTTGGTTAGTTAGTTAGTTTATAATGCTAGGAATATAGCTGAGTGGCAGATTTACCCAGCATTTGCCAGGCATAGGCTCACATCCCAGTTCTAGGGAAACACAAAAACAAACAAACAAAAAAAGAAAACCAATGATAAGGCATTCAGAAGTTGGGGAAGATACCAGGAACTAGGAACAGGAGACAGGGAAACCTGGTGAAATATTGCTAAGTGTATACTACACAGACCCAGTTACATCACTTACATATTCTGAGCCATGTGACTACAGTCCTGAGACTTAGTTTCCCCAACCATGTCTATCATATACTGTGAAAAAAACTTGCATGCATGTTAAAGACTTGGAGAACATTGAGCAATCAATAAGGCATGGCAACTTTGTATAATAAAGTCCCAAACTGGCTTCCCAATGCTATAGCCTCCACAGCTTTAATATGGGAGGACTTGTCATGAAGGTAGTCTACCTGCCTCCAGAGTTAGCCAGCAAGTCAGAAGCTATACAGACCATCTTTAAGACATTGTCCTGGAAATACGCCAACTTCTTCCCAGACCCACTCCCTCATGGATTTTCTTTTATTTAATCTACTACCAGGGGCCCCTGGTTTAGGGTCTTCCTTGTACCTATCACATGGATTTCACTTCTACCCAGTTACCTCTGTGGTAGTCTGACAAGCCCTGGAAGTGTCTTATTTGCTTCTAAATCACCAGCAACTTCTCGAAATCCTGTATTTACTGAACAAGTAACCTGTGCTGCGAAAAGTCTCTTGTCCATTCTTTCCCCCCAAAATGCACCATACCCCTCCCCAAAAAGATGCATGCATCCCTCTGCTATAAAGGAGAAATCAACTTTTAAAAAAAACCCTCTGTGAAAAGCTTCATATCATAGCAAAACAGCTTTGCCCCTGGAGACTCATCACAGGTCTGGTCTACTTACGTTTGCAGATGACCTTATCCGACCAGTGCTTGTTTGACTGGCAAATCAACTGGGAAGAGCCATGAAGCTCGTAACCCTTCCTGCAGCGAATGTCACACCTGGTCCCCAAGGCCGTTTTGTAGTATCCCCCCGGAGGGGCCCTGCAGTACACATCCCCATACTTCACCTTGATGGGGGAGCACCACGGAGTGTCTACAGGCAGAAACAAACGAAGGGAGACATAAGAAGTGACAGGTTTAGACAATGCAGCCCTTCACGCTTGTGCTCTCAGACTGGCTACAGTCCAGATTCTGGACTTCCAATCGCGCCCTATGCATTAGATATCTGTAGATAAGAAAGTAGGACTGGGAGACTGTGTGTCAGACATAACTAAAGATGAATCCAAGTGTCTCTAATTAGTTGTGTGATGCAGACAAGCTACCTCAACTCTCTGAGTGAGCCCCTGTGCCAATGATATCAGGCAAATACTATAAGATATAGAAAATTGCCTAGCACAGTGTTGAGCACAATGTAAATGTTCAATAAGCACTTGTTCCTTCTAGCATGTCCCTTAACATGATATTCTAATCTCTTGGGACTAATTGATGCCATCGTGAGTTTCCACCTTAGCCATCAACGCACAACAAAGTGTCAACTAACTGTGTCTTCCTCCCAGCTATATGTGGGTTCTCTAGAAAGAAAACCACAGTACTCCTGTCTGCTCATTTGAACCAAGCTACACCAGTGTTCATAATAGAGTTCCATTTTGGCTTACACTAATGGAACTATTGCTCCCCTTTTCTATACATCCCTAGTTAAAGACAATGACACCCTCCTCAGATGGAAAATTTGTAGAGTGCTTTGATATTGGTCTCATAGTTGCTGTGTTGGTTAATTTTTGTGAACTTGACACAAACTGGAGTCATGGGGAGATAGAACTTCAAATGAGGAAATGCCTCCATCAGATAGGCCTAGGAAAGTAGTTCTCAACCTTCTTAATGCTGTGACCCTTTTAACACAGTTCGTCACATTGTGGTGACCCCCAACCATAAAAATATTTTTTCTCACTACTTCTTACCTGCAACTTTGCTACTGTTTTGAATCATAATGTAAATATCTGCTATGTGACCTCCAAAGGGATCCCAACCCACAGGTGGAGAACAGCTGGCCTATGGACATGTCTTGCTTAATGATTGATGGGAAATGGCCCAGATCACAGGGATGAGTGATGTCAACTCTGGGCAAGTGACCTTGCATATCTTGTAAAAGCATGGTATGAAGAATAAGCCCAGTTAGTAGCGCCCCTGTATAGTCTCGGCTTCAGTTCCTGCCTTCAGGTTCCTGCCTTGGCTCCCCCTGGTGGTGGGCTGTAATCTGTATGTCCAAAAAAAAAAAAAGCCTTTCCTCCACAAGTTTCTTTGATCTGTGTTTTATTACAGCAACAGGGAAGCAAAGTAGGCCAACTGGCCAGAGCATACCTAGGATGTCACTAATAATGATGAACTTCTCCCCTGTCTTTGGATGGTACTCTCTGAGAGCCATGCTAAAGAAGGACAAGACTGCCTTCTTAGTTGAGGACTTCCCGCAGCTGCCAGTCTATCAGTTCCCTGCACTATCTGGGGGCCAACAATAAGCCCCCTCGTCTCAGGGTGGGGTGGAGTTAATGCTACTTTTCTACAGTTCCCTGGCTCTTCATTGCCCAAAGGCACCACAGCTGCCAGAAAATGGAGAAAGTTCGCCATCATGTGGCCAGGAAGGAACACAGGCCTTGTTCTGCTCTGCCCAGGAACCCTCTCCTAAGGACATGTTTCTGATTGCTAGTCAGTCCTGCTAAAGTCCAGGGTTTGGCAACACAACAGTTTTTACTCTAATGCTTTCAGGCTCCCTTTGGCTAATTTTTTTAATTATATAATGGTTTGCAGAAAGTGGCAAGTGGATCCAAAATTGAAGACTCAGTAACGTTCCCTAGCTAGTCTAGTTGGATAGATGGGAGCTTACCCTAGAGCTTATTCACTTCTACCATGTGGATATAGATGTACAGGGCTCACATCAGGCCTACGGGCATTCCTGGAACTCTTTCTTTCTGGAAGACTTTGTACGTGCAGTCTTCGTGTACTATGTATATTTACGTTCTGCGTGAGTAAGATCTGTGCGTGCTTTCACGTATTACAAATTTACATATTTGAATACAGCATAATCAGATACTTCTCTCCCTCATTTTGACTCTTCAAATTCTTCTATCATTGTTAACCACATATCCAAAAGTTGTGCTGTTGTCACTCTGTGAAGAAAACAAATCTCATATTCATTTATTTGCAAAGGGCATTTTATTTTTTTCTTGCTTTCCAGGAAGAATCTTTGGCTAGTGTTTTAATAAGTTAACAGTGCTTTAGTACCAGCAATGGGAATGTGTGGGAATGACTCAGATGTAAAGGGTATATAAGCACCATGGGTTAGTCAAGTAAATTAACAAATGTTTAACATAGAGGCTTTGAGGAAGGAAGATCGTATGCTGTTGAAGACAAGGTTTAGCAAGTAGACATTCAAGTTGATGAATCAGGAAAGCCTCTGCACCCCCCCTGGGCCAATGTCCTGAGAACTTGAATTAAATGTAGTCTGCTGAGTAGGCAGCATGGTGCGGAAGGCTAATGGGAAACGACTAGTGCACTGCAGACGGGAGCCACAACGCCTGCGCAGACTCCAGTGCAGCATCTGTCAGCTGAGCGAGTGACACAGGACTGACTTGCTTCCTCCTCTCTAGAACAGGGGATAATAATGACACATCACCGTGTACCTTCTCCTTCCCTCAATTAGTGCGAATAGATTATGCTATCCCAAGTAAAACCATCAAGGCTGTGTTCCATCCACAGCACTCAAGTCAGTAAATAAAGACAAATCAATAAATAAGATGTCACATCCTAGGAATCCAATGTATTCTGTTTAATCTTTCTCTCTACTTTTAAATTTGATTTAATTCAAATCATTTATTGGCGATACACTCTGTGCCAGACACTGAGGAGCTTAGTATTCCAGGGCGAACCTCACATGGTTAACATGGTTAACCATGGTTGACATCTAACTTTTAGCATTAATGACACCTAAAAGCTGAGGTGTAACTCTTGAACAGAGCAGTTGTCTAGCATGAGTAAATCCTGAGGTCCAATCCTTATCATAACAGGAATACCAAGAAGAAAGATCCTTAGCTCTCTATTGCAAAAACTGAAGGTACATGTTTTGACATATGTGTACATACATATGATTGTATAGTGTGATGATTCCTGCCAGCGAGCTATTTAACTGACAACACAGATAATTTATCAGAAATAGATTTATTCTTAGACCTCCAGGGAAGGTTCTGGGGTAGGCATAATTTTAGGTATATGATCTACTGGGAGGTAACTGGGCACAATGTCCTTAGGACACGAGGTAACCCCTACTGCAGTCTTTCTACATTGCGTGCGTTTTAGGAACGTTTTCAAGTAGGGACTCAAAGAGACCTGTAAAAACCTTTCGGGAAGTTTTATGAATCAGAGTATCTCCTTACCACAAACATCTGACTAGAACCTTTGTGCTTGATTAAATTACCTAATGCCCAAGACAGTGAGGATAGAGATTATTTAACAAGTGAGCTTTGGTG